AAAAGTTGTTGTTGTTAAGTGTCATCGAGTTGTAGAAGACTCAGCGACCGTATGAACAAAAGACCTGAACACTTGTGTTTTCCTGAGGCAAGCTATTTCAGAAGTGGATGCCACTCCTGCTACCAAGCGTGTTTTAATCAGGGAGCTCGAAGTAGCTGTCAAGAAATCAAATTACATATATTGTGTTGTAAAAATCCAATGCAAAGAACATCTTTAAAGTATCAAAGAGCGAAGATGTTACTTAGAGAGACATCTAAGGTGTGCTAGATACAAGCTATTATTTTCATTCACCACAGTTGTTTAGAAAAGCCAGACCATGAGTAAGGAAGATTGAAGAATTGTGTTTGAATTATGAGGCCAGCCAAGAATACTGAGTGTCCTGTGGACTTCCACAAGAATGGGGAGCTCTGCCTTAGGAGAAATGCATCCAGGATACTCCTTAGAAGGACGGTCAGAATGCAGCTCTGTCTCGTGTATTTTGGGCATGATATGAGGAGTAGCTCGCCCTGCAGAAGAAGGCTGTGCTTGGTAAGAGTAGGTGGACCAGAGGGAGACCTGCAGTAAGACATACTAATACACTGACTACAGCAGTGGGCTCAAACACAGCGGCAGCTGTGAGGACAGTGCAGGGCTGGGCAGCGTTTCACTCCACTGCACACAGGTCTTCTCTGAGCCAGTACCATTTCCGGGCTACCTAACAACAGCCACACTGAACTGTCGCTCTTCCTTCCTCGAAACCTCACACATCCCAGGTCCCTACGCTCTGTTCCAGCTCACAGCCCGCGTACTAGGTCAAGGGCTCAGCTCTTCTCATCTGCACTATTACAATCACCTCCTGTTCTTGTTCTCCTGTCTCTTCCTACCTCCCCTCTCACACGGTCCGCCCTTCCTGGAACAAGATTACCTTCTTCAACGTCTTCAATAGTCTCTCCTCTGCAACTCTGGTTTCGCTTCAAAAGTGTACGGCCTGACCCCGGCTGACCACTTCATCCTTATTCTCTGACGTGTCTTCTTACCACACTGGCCTCCCTTCTGTCCTTCCCAAGCATTAACAACTAACAGCCTTAGGGTTTTGATAACTTCTAGATGGTCTCCCTTCACATCCTACTATGCCTAACTTCGTCCTAGAATCTGTAGTATTTAAGCTCCTCATTGGGTTGCACATCTCCCCGGAGCACAAGAAACATGTATACTCACCTGCTGGCTTATTATTTACTTATTTCCCTTATCAGAGAGACCTAGTGGCCTAGGGGCAAGAAGCTGTGCTGCAATCCCAAAGGCACAGAGTTCGAACCCACCAGCTGCTCCGCAGGAAAAAGATAGGCAGTCTCCTCACACTTGCGATTTAACTGCCTTTGAAAACCTACCAGAGGGTCAGCTATGGGTCTCTTCCGACTAGATGGTAGTTAACAACAGCAACAACATCTCCCTCATGAGAGGAACAGTCTCTTCAGTTCATGTGTAAACCTGGACAGGCCACTTTTTCTGGACTTCAGTTCTCCAGCCACAAATGAGGGGACGAAAGCGTCCCTGTGGGAGGAACTGCTTGACTTCATGAGGCCAACTTTCATTCTTACAGTAAGTCTTTTTTTCCCCACCAACAATACGTAAGCTTTATTTGCACACCTCCACTTTAATGTTATAGACTCAGGGGTGAATATTCCTATTGTGAGAAGTGTTTCAATGTTGGAAGCCACACATTCTCTTTGTAACCTGCACAAAATATGGAAACGCTTCAAGAATTTGTGTGTCATCCTTGAGCCAGAAGAGGTCATGCTAATCTTCTCTGTATCGTTCCAATTTTAGTATATGTGCTGCTGAAGCGAGCACTAGTGTTGATTGAAGATGCCAGACCTGGTGCTACGTACTCGGAGGTGGCAAGAAAAAAGTCAGTTCTAATAGGACTTAGGAAGCTTTGAAAACAGCCTTTCTTTGATCTAGACCAGGTATATCATTATAAACACAGGTTGGTCTCTCTTAAAGCAAAGGGACTACTGTGAAATAACTGGAGTCCTGGTGGTACAAACAGTATAACACGCTCAGTTAGCTGTTCAAGTCCACCCAAAGGTACCTTAAAAGAAAGCCTGGCTACCTACTCTGAAAAATGAACCACTGAAAATCCCAAGGAACATAGTTCTACTCTTATACCAATGGGTTTGCCATTCGTCAGAGCCAACTAGATGCCAAGTGGTAATGGTATGAAACAATAGATGTCATGACATCTAGCTCTGTAATCTCGAATCAGGCTTGTACCAAGGCTTAAATGACTTATCTCTTCTTTGCAATAATGCAGAGGAATAAGTCATAGGACCATTTTCAAGGTGAAGACGGAGGCATAGAGTAGATAAGTAACTTTCCTAAGGTCACACAGTAGGTGATGTCAAACCAATCTGGAAAAGAGATTGGACAGTGTAAGTCCATGTAGATTCCCAGGGTCAGAACAAAGGGAGAAGCGAATGCTCTGTGGATGGACCAGTGAGGCAGCGCTTAGAGCCTGCAGACATTCTGACAGGCTGTGAACTCTCACGCTGGGGTTTCTCAGCTCCCAGGTCTCAGTCTCAACACTGTTGACAGACCTGGCAGAGTTGGCCTCACCAATACCAACCCTCTAAAGACTTAGGAACAGAACAGACGCATAAAGCCTGCTGCTGAACCTCACCCAGGGGCAGGGCAGTGGGGAGAAGTAATGTGTAAATAATACCTGGCCAGCAGCAGTGTGGGAGCCTGGACAGGCAGGCCTGGGCCACGAGAGGCGAGAATCCCTATGAGGAGCTGGGCCAGTGGCTTAGGCAAGAGTTGGTTTTCTATAGAGGATGCTGAGTGCGCTGTCCACGGCCTGCTTTCACCCCAAGCAAAGAAGTCAGAAGATAAGAAACAGATACTGAGGGATGGTAGCGGGAGGGGCAGGGGCAGAGGCCCAGAAAGTAAGGCACAGGAGGGTCAAGGGGTGCTGGTCAGCGGTACGGACTACACTGGGTGGGCAGGCAAAGAGGATTAGGTGGAAGGGACTGGCAGTCATTTATGGGTGACAATGAGAATTCAGAGAGAGAGACAGATGGAGCTTTTGATGAGTGAGGAGGAAACCCTCAGATTCAGTGCTTCTTAGAGCCACTCTGGGTGACATGGGTCAGTCAAACATGCTGGCACCTCTTTGTACCTTAGGCACAAACCACAAGCTGCCATCAGCTGGAACACTGCGTACGGGGGGGCAGGGAAGCCAGGCGGGTAGGGAAAGCAAATGTGAGGTCACTCTCCCCTTCAGATCCTTGCTGGGCCAACTGAGGGAGGGTCTCTCTCCCCTTGGCCCCCTACAAGCCGCACCCCTGCCAGCCCCTGCCACACCTACCCAGCTCACTAGAGCTTAGGGACTAGGCTATTTGCTTTATTCCTTCCCCAGTTCAAAAGGAAGTCGGCAGCCTCAGTTCTCCCACCAAGCCAGGCCTTAATCCCCCAGCCCCCATTCTCCCAGCTGATCAGTTAAGGCGGTTAAGATGGCTGGATTAGGGTTGGCTTTACACCTCTCCTGGGATGGATGAAAGACTGCTTTTTATCTTCATGCCTCAGATGGCCATTTTTCCCCTCCCTTACACAGCCTTCCAGCCTGCCAAGAGGCAATGAACTCTGCCAACAGGAAGAAGAAAAAATACACCATCATTTAGGCAGCGTGTCTGCATGCAGAGTCTGACGTAGCAAGCCGAGGGGGAAGCTCGCATGTGGCCGTGATCTGCAGGTCTGGCCTCGGCTGCCCTCAAGAACCTCCTGGTATTGTCTGCTCGCCTCTCAAGACCCCGCAGGTTCTCCAGGCCCAGATGCCCCAGCGGCCGTCGGGCCATGCCCACTCAGCTGTCCAGGCGGCTGCCTGCCCTCGCCTCAGCAGGGCAGCCCTCCCTGTCCATGACTGCTCCCGTCTGGTAATTATCATCTCTGATTCTGAATAAAAACCGGGCACTTGGAAGGCAAAGACATCACCTCATTGTCACACTACTCTGGGAGTTAAGGAGGGGGAATAAAAATCTCTCATCATCATGAGAGATAGGGAAACTGAGGCTCAGAAAGGTGATGGGCCACAGCTAAATTCAAGCCAGCAAACCAGAGGCAGCCAGCAAGGCAGAGGCAGCCAGCCCTCTACTCTATTCTTTTTCCTTGGTGTGGTGCTTCCTCGTGCAGAAAGGAAGTGTGAGCTACAAAAGACAGCAGCTAGATGGTGTGAGTGTGTGTGAGTGTGTGTGTGTGTGTACACATGCCCGTGCACAGAAAGATGGAGAGATGAGAGAACTACTTTATGTAGAGAGGACTTCACACGTAGCCTAGGAGATGGGGATCTCACTACCATCAAGTCAATCCCGACTCATAGCAGCCCTCCATTGGGCTTCAAGGCTGTAAATCTTAAGTGGGAGGTGTTGTTGTTATTGCTGTTGTGTACTGTCAAGTCAGAACTGACTCACAGCTGATCCTCCAGCAAGTTTTCAGAGACACTTAATTGCACAGGAGGAGACGGCCCATCTTTCCCGGCATAGCAGCTAGTGGATTTGAACCACGTGCCTTTGGAACTATGGCACAGCTTTCTTACCACTAGGCCACCAGAGCTCTCTCAACTGGTGGGTAGTACCCATCTTTCTCTCATGGAGCTACTGGTGGATTTGAACCACCAGACACAGCTTTGTCTAGTTGGCAAGGTAACACACTACGGACTACGCCAGAGCTCCATCAGAGGGGCTTAGCTGAGGTCAAACAACGTCTCCAATGTCCTACAGAGAGAAGCCAAAATGCGAACCAGCCAAAATGTGGGTTAGTTCCAGCCTGTACTCGAAGCTGTGAAAAAAGGCCCTTCCTCCTCCTCTTCACTCCCATCTCACCTGACCCCATGCATTTCATGAGAGTCAAAGACCCCTTGCCTAAAAGTCTTCTGGAGAATATCAGAGGGCCAGTGGCAGACCGTATACGCCCTCCGCTACCCCGCTACCCCACTGCTCCAGGGACGGAGTGACCACTCCACGTACCTTCCAGGCGGAAGTCCTCCTCCTCCTCCTCGCTGAGCGTTTCTCTTAAAACGTCGCCCACGAGCTCCTAGAGAAAGACAAAGGAGGGACATGAAGGAGTTCTCAGGGCCAGGGAGGAACAGAGTTTGGGGACATTCAAAGTGACACCCCAGATTGCAAGGTGGCAACAGGTACCTTATTCGACTCTTTCTGGTGGGAATTTGGGTCAGTAAAGTAGGTACTTAAAAATCATCACAGTGTTTTTCAGGTTGTTGTTATTGTTGTTAAGTGCCGTTGAGTCGTTTGCAACTCATAGCGACCCTATGTACAAGAACCCTAAACCCTGCTCTATCCTGTGCCAATCTCACTGTCTCCAGCACACCTACTCCCACTCCCACCATCTTCCTCTCCTGAGCTGTCCCTCCACTCTCCCAAACATGATGTCCGTTACCAAGAACTGGTCTCTCCTTGCAATACATCCAAAGTATGTCAGACAAAGCTTTAGAATCCTTGACTCCAAGGAGTAGCCTGATTTCACCCTCTCCAGGACAAACCTGTTTGCTCTCCTAGTAGTCTGTGGTATATTCAATACTCTTCTCCAGCACCACAGCTCAAAGGCATCAATTCCCTTTCTATCATCCCTAGTCACTTTTTTTTTAGGAGGTAACTGTTTTCTCAGCCTACATCCCTCTAAGAAATACCATACAGGCCCATTATTCCTTAGAAAGTGAGTTCCACCAGTCTACCTGGGATTTGCAACGACAAATGTCCCTGCTCCATCTCCTTGAGCCAGAGGACACAATTCGGAGATGTCTCCATGGACCCAGGACAAGATCTCATTTTGGATTCTTTTTCTAGGCGACTGTATCTAGACGGTCTATAAAGAAGTCAAAAAGGCTTCGAAACTTAACATAAAGTCCAAACTCTTCATCAGCTGATGTTCAAATGCACTTTGTATATTCCACTGACGTGTATATCTCCCTGGAAACTAGCCTGACTGGACCACAGGCTTTGCCTCCTTCCACAGGTGTGCCACAGGTGTGCCTCATACCACACTGCAAGGCTGACTCCAGCAGTCTGGCCAGACCGCAGCTCAGGTGTCACCAGGTGGGCAAGGAAGTTTGGTTGGTTGCACAGGCTAGGAATTTTCTGGGATGTCATCAGACAAAAGTCTCATCTATCTAACTCATCCCTAGCAGAAGGGCTCTAGACATAAAAGAAAAGCTAAACCAGAACTTATCAAACTACATTCTAGGTTTACACAGCATTCTGCTCCAAAATAGAGAGGTCTGTGATCAAGGAAGATTGCTTTATATGAAGTTAAACAAGGTCCCTTGCTGCATGGGGGGGGGGGGGGGTGGTCCTTGGTGGTTCTAGCAGTTAACACTCTGGGGTGCTCACTGAAAGGTTAGTGGTTTGAGTTTACTCACAGGGGCCTTGGGAGAAAGGCCTGAAAATCTGCATTCATAAACACCAACCATCACCTCAACAAGAAAAAGGTAAACAACCCAATCACAAAATGGGCACTGGATATGAACAGACACCTCACCAAAGAAGACATGCAGATGGCAAACAAACACATGAAGAAGTGGTCAAAATCCCTACCCATCAGAGAGATGCAAATCAAAACAACTATGAGATAACATCTCACCCCAGCAACAACAACAAAGTTCAACAGAGCGGCAAACAACAAATTCTGGTGAGACTGTGGAGAGATTGGAACCCTTATGCACTGCTGGGGGGGAATGTAAAATGGCTCAACCACTATGGAAGGAGGTTTGGCACTTTCACAAAGATTTGGAAATAGAAATAGCATTTGACTGACCCAGCAATTGCCCTGCTCAGGATATACCCTAAAGAAACCAGAACCACCATCCAAACAGTGTATGCATACCCATGTTTATTGCTGTGGTATTCACTATAGAAAAGAGATGGAAACAACCCAAATTCCCATCAACAAATGGATAGGGGAAAAAACGAAAAGCCATGGTACATCCACACAATGCAGCGCTGAAAAACAATGAACTTGGAAAACATTATACAACATGTGTGACTCTGGAAGACATAATGCTGAGTGAAATGTCTCAGTCTCAAAAGGACAAATACTGCATAACATCACTGCTACAAAGAAGGCCTGATATGGAGAGCTGGGAGAATAGGAGAAGGTGGATAGATAATGAACATTGTATTGAAAAATATGAGGGAGAGAACTGTTTAAAAGGAATATACAATTCGGCATTATATCCATCCATTCACCAGGAACAATTACTATATGCCAGATAATCATTTCAGTGATGAAATAAAAGAGTAAACAAAAGAAAATAATTTCTACTTTGTTTATATTTAAAACAATTGCTGTTGTTATAGTCAAGCATGACTCATAGTGACCCTATGAACAAATGGCCTGAAGTCCATCTACAACTATCAACATTTATCAGATTAAGAAAATTATAGTTCTAAAATAAAACAACAAAACAAAACACCCAGCCCCTACAGAGCACAGTTCTCCTATGACACACAGGGAGTCATATGAATCTGAGTGGACTCTATCATAAGAGGGTTTTCTTTTCTTCCTGCAGGACTTACTGGGTTTTTACCATGCTAACGGTCATTGGGATTCACCCTATATAGTGTATGTTGCAGTCCCCACACCTACTTAGACCATGAGGGTCTGCTTTTCAAATGCATCTCATGGACATGATGTTCCAATAACCTTCTTTGGTAATCATTCCTCTTTGAAGGGAAAGATAAGGTTCAGGGCAACATACACCATGTTTCCCTTTTGATCCCAAAATGACTCTCTTAGTTTAGTGCTGCTATAACAAAAATACCACAAGTGAAGGGCATCAGTAAACATACATTTATTGTCTCACATTTGACGAAACTAGAAGTTCAAATTCAAGATAGAGAAAGTTTCTCTCTGTGCCAGTCCTGGAGGAAAATCCTTGACAGCTAGGGCAAGGTTTTGAATCCCACTTGGTCATGGTGAATTATTTCTTTGATGTATCGTTGGAGTCTATTTGCCAGTATTTTATTCAGGATTTTTGCATCAATGTTCATGGAGGGCAAGGTTTTGATCTGCTGTTCCTAGGGTCTCTATGAGTTGAGGTCGTCTTGACAACACCTAACCACGAGGCTTGGCATTCCATGTAGGTCTCCATGTGTCTTGGCCTCGGAGTTCTCTCTGGGAGATTTACCACCCAGGGACTCTTCGTTTAGAGGATGAGCTGCCCCCTCCCAGCTTTTCTTTCGTGGTGACCCTAACACCTTCCCCCTTGGTCCCTCTCTTCTTTTATCTTTTGATAAAAGATATTGCAGGCCACACCTCAGGGTGTCTCCTGATACTGGATCAGGGTGGATCACATTGGACCACTTCATGGGAGGTGATAACATCATCACATAAAGCAGCACTTTACATCCAAATATTTTGAGAGGAGCCACAATTCAGCCCATGACAATGATGCTACAGCAGCACTTCTCAGACCACAAAATCCCAAACAGTAAGATGAATCCAAACACAGTTGTTCTATGCTGTCGAGTCACCTGCAACTCCTAGCGACCCAATGTACAAAACAGTAGCCATCACAAATGTCACTTTTTTAAAAAAATCGAAAATAGGAAAGTTGTTAAAATCCTCTCTAGGGATAGAGAAGAAAATCTAACATCTCAGATCCTTAAAGAAACATTAGTACCCATCTTGACTAAAGACGAGATCTGGTGATGTAGAGGGCTGCACTGCAAACCAACCAAAAGCCGGGACTCTGGCAGTTCAAACCCAACTGTAGCTGAGAAAGGAAGCAGGATAGGCAATTCCTTCCCAGGAAATTTACGGGCTAAGAAACCCCCAAGGGGTGTGGGGGGTCAAATATGAATCGGGTTCTACTCCAAGGCAATGAGTTTAAGTTTTATATTGTTGCTTTTTGAATTGTGATTAAAGGAAAATAATGCTTTGTATAGCTGATATTATCAGTGAATGCAGCTGGTACACACTTCGGGTTTTTTTTAGCTCACCTTTTCGGAATTAAGGTTAGTCTTCTCTGTTCTCCCTTCCCCCTCCTCCCCTGAACATTTTGGGAAAGTACACAATCTTTCTCAAAGTTGGTAAAATCTGACTGTTCAGACTCCTGGCGTTCTATTTACTTCAAAACCACATAATTTTATTCCTTATCAGATGGCTTCTCTCTTTTTAGTTGCCAATTATTATAATCACCATCCATTTCCTGGGCTTGTTCGCAAAGCTGGAGTTGATGGGATCCAGGAGACAGAAAGAGGAAAGGACCATACTTGGTGGTATCATTAGATCGTGGGGAAAGTCCTCTTCACGCTTCCCCATGAAGCCAGTCAGTGCTTCCCTGGAACCTACTTACTCATTTATAAAAAGGGCATAGGGTTAAATCACAACTGGAAGAACACAGCTAACACTTATGTGTCTTCTATATGCCAGGCCCCATGATAAGAATTGTGATGTTGTGGTTCATTCCCCCAAGTCAACCCTCAGTTTATAGAGACCTCACGCACAACATCTCAGTCCTATACCATCCCTACGACCAGTTACGGATGAGACCACCATCATCCATAGTAGGAGGTTTGAATCTCAAAACCCTGATCTCCAAACCTACTACACAGACACAGTAAACAAGACAACTTAGTACTGGTAAAGCAGCAGACACACAGACTCATGAAATAGAATTCAGCACCCAGGAAAAAACCCATTTTATGCTCTTGTTGTTGTTAGACCGTCGAGTTGAGTATGACTCATAGAGAATCTAGGAACAGCTCTGAGCCCTGTCTTATCATGTGCCATCCTCACAATCTCTTACACACTTGAGCCCATTGCAGCAGTTACTCTGTCAATCCGTTTGGCTGTAGATCTTCGTATCTTTTGTTGACTCTGCACCGCTGCAACCATGATGTCCTGCTCCAAAGAACAGCCTCCTCTAGCAACATGTAAAGTATGCCAAATGAAACTTGATCACCTTTGCCTCCAAGGAGCCCCCCTGACTGCACCTTCGCTCAGACATATCTGTTTGTTCTTTGCCTACCGTCAACCTCGTCCCATCCCATGTCCACTGTGGACCCCATCACACG